ATTTAATCACCTATATAATCAAAAAAAGTTCTTTTTTTTTGCTGAGAAAAAGTAAAAATGAGAGCAGAAAAAACAGTCAACTTGAAAAAAGCTAAAAAACTGCAAAGAGATGAAAAAACCATTGTTTTTTTTCGAAATATGACGTTTAAAAATGTACAGTTTTTTGCAATTCAAAAGAAAATAGAAATGGAAAAAATTAGTTAGTTGAAAACAAGGATCCAGCAGAACCAACAACAAAAAAGCAAATTAATGTTTTGTCGAAAATATCAAATATCCGGCTAACATAAATTAGATGCAAATTTTTTTTGTTTTTTGTTTTTAAACTAATAAGCCAAAATTATTACCTCATTATGTGTCTGTTTTGCTTTTTTTTTTTTGATAGAAAAGTAAATTGGAAAAAAATTTTTTTTTTTCTTTTTCAAATAAAATTCATTTATTTGAATTACAAAATAAAATTGACTGTAACGCGCGGTCGTTTAGCAACTATAAAAAATTTTATTCACTTGTCTAAAACGGATAAATTTTTATGACTATTCAATGACTGTTGTTGTTTTCTCCCTAATTTTTTTTTCGCAAGGTTATTTTTGATTAATAAAGTTAAAAAACTGTCTGCTTATAACTTTAAATATACACAATTTTTTTTTTGGCACACAGTACCAAATAATGGTTGACAACAGAGCAACAGTAATTGTAACGTAAAAAATTACTAGCAACATTTTTCTCGTCGTTGTTCTTTCAGTTCATTATTGTTTGAGAAGTTTTGAAATGAGCAATAACAAAAGTATCAATAACGGCAGTTTTGGTAAATTCAAAAAAAGGTAGTAAAAAACGACAGTTATAAATTGTGCAGAAGAAAAAGTTGAAAAAAAAAATTTATCTTTGATAATAGTTCAATAAATTGTTATTTGACTATTGTAGTTAAACCTTTACTGGAGAATCTTTGTAGGTAATATAGCAGTAACAGTAACAGCAACAGAAGAAGAAAAAGAAGTAACAACAATTGTAGTATTATGAACCAAAAGAAAATATATTATTAGAATTACTAGCAGTAATAGCAAAAGAAGAAGATTGAATATCAGTGTCAAAAGCAGTGTTAGCAGAAGCAGTTTCAAAAGAATCAAATAAAGTGGCAGAAAAAAATACAGTAATAAAATGATACAACAGAAAAAATACTGACAAAAAAATTTTTTTTCAAAATATATTTCAATAAGCTGTTATTCGTTATCTTAGTTATCACTGAAGAATGTTCATAGATACTAAAGCAGTAACAACAACAGCGGAAGCAGAAGCAGAAACCGATCAGGAGCAGCAACAACAGACATCATATCTGTTCAAAATTCTTTTAGACTACTGTGACGGTGAGGGCAAACGGAATTGCAATTGTCAATGACAGCAGTACGACCGACCGTAAATTTGGTTACATTATTCAATGGCTTCTGTCGCTCAGTGGTGCACTGTTGAATTTTCCAAAATTTATGAAAATTTTATTTTTCAACTAAATTCTATTTTGAAAGCTCAATTTGTAAATGTTTAATGCTTAAAAGCCTTATCTATGTTTATTCTACTGTTTTGAGCAGAGCAACAAAAATTTAGCAATAAAATACAATTATAAAAATTAAAACAAAAACTTCTTTTGTGATCTCCTTTTTTTTTTTTTTTTTTTGC